CCCGCTCCAACAGCCTCCCACACCCAGCGGGCAGTGGCAAGGCGGGTGGCCCAGGCACAGTGACGGAGCCGGGCACTCCATTTAGCATCGGCCGCTTTGCCACGCTCACGCTGCAGGAACGGAGGGACCGGGGGGCGGAGAAGGAGCACAAGCGCTACCACAGCCTGGGCAACATCAGCCGGGGGGGTGGCGGGGGTGGCAGCAGCGGGGACAAGCCCAGTGGCCCTGTTCCCCACAGCCGTCTGGACCCAGCCAAGGTGCTGGGTACGGCGTTGTGCCCACGCATCCACGAGGTGCCCCTGCTCGAGCCCCTGGTGTGCAAGAAGATTGCCCAGGAGCGGCTGACGGTCCTCCTGTTCCTGGAGGACTGCATCATCACCGCCTGCCAGGAGGGCCTCATCTGCACCTGGGCCCGGCCGGGCAAGGCGGTGAGTCGGCCGCGCCGGCCTACCCGGGACCTGGGACTCGGGGAGAGCAGTTTGTCACGATCACAGCCTCTGGCCCGTAGGGTGAGGGGCAGCCATGCCACCTTGGTGTCTCAGAGCAGGCCCTGCCACATCTCACGATGGGTCTAGAACCCTTGGCAGCCGTCCACACGGTCAGGCAGAAGAGAGCGGGGTGTGGTAGGGACCATGGCCAGCTACCAGAAGGGCAGCCACTGGGCCCAGCACAGCCCGGTCTTGCCACTTGTTCCTTGAAGCCAGATCCGTATTTCTGTGGAAAATGTGATTTTTAAATGATGAAACTGGATACTGCGGGTCAAGTTCTGTGGGCAAGACTGAGCCTTGGGCTCGCCCTCCAGCCTGGCCCTGGCGTATGAGCCCGGTGCTGGAGGCACAGGCGGGATTACCAGGCTCCGGTCCAGTTCTGCACGTCTCCCTGTGTGACTTCGGCCAAGCCCCTGCCCCTCTCACCTCTTAGGACGGGGAGGCTTGAAGATGGGCAGTAGGCGGTCGATGTGCCCGTCCTGGGGTGGCCGTGGGGCTCGGGTGGAGCACAGGCCTGGCGCCTGTAACCTTGGAGCTGTGGACTCTGATGTTTCGGCTCCTCGGGTCTGGGCTTGGCGCCCAGTATGTCCCATCTGAGGGCCGTGGCTTGGTTCCTTGGGAGGTTTTGGGGTCATAGCGCCCTGCATCCCTAGAACTCAGAGCCTCATAGGTGAGGTGTTGGGATTTGGGGAGTCTTGTGAGTCCTGAAAGAGACCCCTCTATCTCCCTAGTTCACAGACGAGCCCAAGGCCCAGACAGGGGAAGGAAGTTGGCCCAGGTCACCCAGCAAGTCAGTGGTAGAGGTAGGACTGTCCCTGAGTTCTTTCCCCCCCAGAATCTCAGCCCCCCCCCAGAAGGGGACCCCAGTTTTCCCCTCTTCCCCACCTCCACCCCTACCCCATCCTCTGCTCAGGATCACCTGAGGACTTCAATTATTGCCTAAAAGTGCTGCCTGCTGGGACGGGGAAGCTAGTTGAGATGGAAGTTCCAGAACCTAGAGCAGCATCCTGGGTGGGGGGTGTCTGGTGAACTGAAGGGCAAGGCCGGGTGGTGGGACCTCAGATGTTCTCTAACCCCTGCTGTCTCCCCTCCTCTTCCCAGGGCATCTCCTCCCAACCAGGCAACTCCCCGAGCGGCACAGTGGTGTGAAGCCCTGGATGCTGGGTTCCCTGCCCTGCCTCGCCTCCCAGCCATCACCCTTCCGCTGACCTCACAGATCACCCTGTTAACAAGACTAACCATGACGGATGGACTGCTCTGGTCCCCCGCCCTGCACAATCTGGGGGGCAGAGAGTCCCCCCGGACTGGCCTCGACCCTGGGGGGATGTAGTGGCTCATTGTGGCCTCAGCCTTGTCCCCACCCACTGCCAAGTACAATGACCCCTTCCTTCCGCTGAAACATCAGTGTTAGCCTCATCCCTGTCCCCAGCATGTGACTGGTCATGGGCGGGGGAGGGAGGAGCTCCCCACCCACAAGAGCCCAGCTCCGCAGTGTGCCCCTCAGTCTGCGGGCCCAAACCCCACCTCCCCTGCTGGTGTTCGTGCTTTTGAAAAGTGTTAAGTTATGGAAGCCCCTTGGGGCCCTTCCTGTCCCCAGCACCTCTTATTTATACTAAAGTTCCCTGTTTTCACAGCGTCTCTGATCCCTCCCTCGCGGTGTGGCGGGAGTGTGTGTGCTTTCACTGCTTATCCGCTTTTTTTTTTTTTTTAAGATAAAGTTTATTTAGAAAGTTACAGAGCCCTGGCCAGGTGGCTCGCTTGGTTGAGCATCCAGTGCACTGAAAGGTTGCTGGTCTGATCCCGGCTCAGGGCATGGGGTGGGGAAGATGGAGCACATAGCAGCGGATCAGTGTTTCTCTCCCTCTCTAAGCTTGTGCTCCAGTGAAGATTAGAAAAAAAAAAAAGAGTAGTAGAACCGAGCCACCTGGGCTGCTTGGGCTCAGGAAACAAATTACAGAGGCCAAAGGAGGGCCCTGGAGCTTAGGGAAGGAAGCACTTGAAGATCGGATCGGAGTGGGTGTGCACTGGGCAGAGCGTGTGCCCATCAGTCCGCTCCAACGGGCGGGCGGGGAGCAGCCAGGCCCTGCCCACTCCCGCACCCTTTTAATAGGAAAAACTGAAGGTGGGAGGAGGGATGTGCTCAGGGCACCAACCGGCGGTGAGCAGGACCCCTTGGATGGGGGAGAGTCCACCCCCTAAACCGTTGAGGGAAGAGAACCACTGGGGCCCCCTCCCGGAGTCCTCGGTGGGAGTTGGCAGCGTTGCTTGGCTTGAAAATGTCCAAACCTCCTAAGTCCATGTTACAGGATCTTCCCAAATGGGGTCTCCCCAGGCAGCGCCACAGGCCCAGAGCGAGTGCCCTTGAGCGCAGGGCTTGGCCGCCTGCTGCCTCCGGCCTGGCTTGCCCAGCCCGGCTGTCCAGGAGAGGTTTCCTCCGGGAGGACTGTCCGCCCTGGAAAGGACAACGAGATCCCTCC